CGATTTCATCCACGTGAGCAAGCGTATCCTAGCTACTGAACTCTTGCATGAACGGAAATTTTAGTTTTATCGGGAACAGTGATGTTAGATTTATCAGTCTGGTTACGAAGCCGGGAATACTTCCATCTAAATAGTTCCTCCAAAGGGAAGCGAAAGGGTGAAACCAAGGATGGTATTTAAGGGAATATGAAAAGATATCATGTCATAAAATATCAATTTCTTTGAAATAGTTCTTTTCGAGAAGAACTCTGCTTTTCTCACCTTCTAACTTGATCTGCTTTCAGTATCGATGTACGTCTTGAAATGGCAGAAATACCTACAACATCAGGTCGCTGATTTCATTTCGTTCTTCATACTCATTATACCTCTACTTTCTCAAATACCAGTTCTCAGTATACATTTCAATTTTTTGTTTGTTTTTTTTTTGATCATGTTAAAATTTTGTCTCTGCTCTTCTCTAATCACTTATGTTTATGTACTATAATTGCCAATATTGTCATGGTTGAATAACTTTTCTCCATAGTCATCGTACGTGTTGCTGTATCCCCTTGGTTTTGTATTTGTACTCATTTACTGTGCCAGTAATTGCTTCAGTTCTTGGACGATCCACTGGCACTATTGCACTGGAACTGTCGTCTCCTTCTTTTGTATATGTGCAATTATCGTTCTCTTCAAGAAACAGAGTTGACGTAGAACGCGATTCAGTGGTACCTGAGAACCGTTATATCTACGTCTACCCAAGTTTTGTAGCCAACCATTAAAGCTCACTCATAATATTCAAGGACGGGTTAATAAAGATTTCGAATAGATGCTTGTCAGTGATTCCATCTTAGCCTTGGTTTGCAAAGAGGCTTTAATAAGATCCAGCGGCTAATAGACTCGAAAATCGTTCTTTTCTACATTATTCTTTGCTAGCATTTTCATAGAAAAAAACCTTGGAAGTTGTCTCTATTTTTTGTGTATATACTGAGAAGGGAAGAATTAGGGAAGTGAGAATGCTCACATCATTATGAAGAGGTCATTTACGGAAGTGGTTTACTGACTTTGAAACAAAATAAAAAATCGAAAAATCAAATTCTGAGTGGGCTTGTAGTACCTCTATAAGTTCAAAAGGGGAAATTTTCGAGCACATTGAAGACATCATCGGTGGCGAAAAACGAGAGAAAAGCCGCAGAACGCGCGAAGTATAAGACTCAATAAAAGTAGTGGAAGTAGTGGTGGTACAAGATTACAATAGCGAGAACGGTACGGGCTGAGTGTTTGGACGAGATTTCAGTCGTGTGCGAATGCGTATGTAGTTGATTACCGTATTTCCCTGCGAAAATTGCTTTGCGCGATCACCATTCACAACTGGTTGCTTTTGTAGAACCGAATGCTTCTGAGTGGTCATCGTCAGTCTTTCGGAACATAGTGTGCTATGTAGACCCGAGACGTCTCATCCTTGAGATGACAGAGTTCTCCCACCAGGGAATCCTTCAAACTATTTTTACTGGCTTGTGCTTTCTATCTTTCTTTAATCAGGAACCAAACGCTGTAATGAAGCTTACTACTTGATGCGAAAGTTTTGAGACACTATTTCAACCTTACCTTTTTCCATAATATCGAACCATCACTACATATTAGAATATTTTCAAAATTACCACTGGTAAAAGTGAAGCGGTTCCTCGAGCGCTCCTCCTGTGAAGCCTTTTGCGATCGTCAACAGCTTCTCCTTGAGCAAGCTTCGCCTACTACTAAAGGCCCTAAATGATATTCAGTCCACTAAATCCAACATATACACTGCATTAGGACAAGGCTCCGCCGGCCGCGCGTATAACAGCTGCTCATTCATGCTCGATGCGACGCGCTATGTGCTGACGACAAACGGCTCATCAGCGATGTAAAGATGAAACTGGAGGCTCTGTGTAGAGAATTGGCAAAACTTTTTGGGTACGATTAGAGCAGCGCCGTTCGTTCGTTTGTTTCCATTCGCTTGGCAGCTTTACGAACGCGGTTATAGAAAGCTCTTGCTTGATGAACCCATATTACAAGTTCCACGACGATTTCCGTCATACATGTGTCTCAACCAGCTACCGGTCAGTTGCTCTACCTCACCACCAAACGAAAGAAGTTCTAGCAGAGCATGGTGACAGGAGATCAAAGCTGGATCCTCTATGACGACAACAAGAGGATCCCTGTCTGATTCCTATAATTAGAATGTCCGCTCGTGCAGCCTAAGCCAGAACAGAACCCGAGAAAGCTGTGCTGCTTTGAAGATCCGAAGGGACTGATATATTACTAGTTGCTCCATCGAAGTCACACGCACAGCGCTTTTATATACAGCAGCTGGCTCGAAAAACTCCTCACACAATCGAAGCAAAGCAACCGAAAAAAAACTGTGTTTATCTTCTGCATGATACCCTTAGCGCCATATTACAGGACCACGCAACCCAAGTTACAGGAATTTTTCTGGAACACTCCGCTTCTGACTGTCATCTTTTGAAACATATCGAGTAGTCCCTTGTCAAAGTAATTTGCTTCTTTAGATGATCTCAGAGTGCTGCGCCTTAATGAGCTATTTGGCTCACAGTCCCCTTCTCTCCGGGAGTGGTGAATAGCGGTCTCGTTCTCTCGTTAAATGTACGCCTTAGATGGGTCTTAGAACGTAATTATATAATTTCATGAATGAAAACTTGCAATAATCTGTAAAAAATGAAAACATGCATCCCAGGGTGTCAGAAAATTTGCATCAACATAATAGAAAAAGCGAGACCAGCTGTCGGCGCTACTCAATGCACTATGATACTAGAGGATAGTATGCAATTGCAATCAAACCTGTAAACGAATAAAAATTGAGTCCAACCAAGCTGAGTTTCAAAGGTCTACTCATTTTCTTGTTGTTTTTTCTCGCATAACCTCCACAAGAGAATGCTCAGATGGGCCTGCGGCTGGACTCGGCTGGATCGGGTCAGAAATGAAGACGTCAGGACGGCTATGCAAACAGCTCCAATTCAACTGAAGATGAGAGAGCAGCGCCTGCGATGGTTCGGGCATGTACTAAGAAGACCACAGAGCCATCCAGTAAGGGAAGCAATGGAATTCGAGGCTCAAGGCAAGCGACCACGAGGAGCCCCAAAGAAGAGATGGCGGGACGTGATCAAGAAGGACCTCGCCGAAGCCAAGGTGACGGCAGAAGATGCCTTAGATAGAATGAAATGGAGACGGCTGACAAGAACAGCGGACCCTGCGACGGCGCGGGATTAACGCTAGGGAGAAGAAGAAGAAGAAGAACCTCCACAATGAATTGTTGATAGAAAAAAAACTCGAAGACTTTAATCGAAAACGTTGACATGCTGATTACTCAATTACTCATTGTTCAGCGTTGTAATGTTTATTTTCTATAGCTTTCTTGAGTGCTTTTCCTATGAAACCTCAATTCTCTCTTCTACTTTTACGACTCAGAGGCTGCCGTACGATACAATACAATACAATGAGTAGCTCTTTATTACTTGACGACTAGTCATGTACATTCGTATGTCTTCCTTTCTTGCTGAACAATCAAGCCTTTCGCGGCACCGAATGGCATCAACTGACTTTCAATACGGTATCGGTCGACCTTTGCGATCCCAAAACTTCCCCGAATGCTCTTCTATCGTCATCCCGTTCACAGTTGACAAAAGCCGCGGCGCCGTTTCCGAGGGGTCCTTCTTGCCCTGAAGAAAGAGAATGCCCATCATTCAACTCGCGAATAATACTATGAACTAGTGTAAAAAATCACGTTATGGATCACTTACATTTGGTCCACCCATGTCGGTTCTGTTCCAGCCGGGACACATGGCTACTGTGAGCAGATCAGGATGTTCTATAGACATCAGTCTTGTGAGATGATTTATGGCAGTCTGAAAAAGAAAGATTTGCCATTTGTTGGTTTGCTCCTACTTAACCAGTTTACCTTGCTACACATGTATGCATAATTTCCGTGTACACTCTCTGTTCCAGGACATAGCTCTATTGACCCTTTGCGACCAGATATATTCACGATTGTAGCCGTTTCCCCTTTGGATATAGACTTGCGTAACAGTGGAAGGCACTCCTGCATTGAAAAAGAATTTTATCAAAAATGTTCGACACATCTGCTCCATCTGCGAAACACTTACTTGTATCACCATAGCGGGAGAAACGACATTAATATCGAAGTGGCGGAGCCAAGCTGCACGTTCACCGTCTGGAATTCCTGCTTTGTGGTCCTAGGAGGAGAATATGACATAAGGATGAAGCTGAGTGTGTATGACGTTGATCATCCGGATGTGCTGCGCATGAAATTTCCATTTGAGGTTTACAGAGTGCCACTGCCAACCCTTAAAGCTTTTCAATTCTAGCGCGGAAGTACTTCATGGTTCTCAAAAAGCTTCAAGGATTTGGGCCTGAATTTTCTTCAGAATGTATCAGTGATGAGCAATCACAAATAGGTCCCGGCGAGGAAGTGCAAAAAGTACCAGTCAAGTCCAGCTCTTCATAAATTTTCTCAATGCCCCTTCAAATCACTGAGGAAGTTCTAGCTTCTTCAAGACAAGGGAACAGAGAGTGAGAGAGAAGTAGGAGGACAAGAAATGAAGCAGATTAAAGAGAGAGAAGAGGTGGCATTAAAGGCCAAAATCTTGGAACACTTTGCAAGCACATGATCTGAATAAAAAGCTGTGAGGGTGAAGGGATCGTCGTCGATGTTGACTCCCGACTCCACAATCTTCAAAAGAAGTTGACATCCTATGGTTTGCTAAAAGCTTTTCCTTACTCAGCTGATTGTGGGCCACGACAAGCTGTCTTGCTATGATTTTCGAACTAGGTCTTGAGTAATAATAGCACCATTAGATATCATGAAAAAGTTCGAAGGGAAGTGAAGTAGCTCCCTTCTGGGGAACTTACGATAGTCGAGCTATTTAGCGCAATTAGCGCTGAAGGCAAACCGCATACCGGACCATTAAAAATGGTCATCAAAAAACGCACCTTTTCAAGTATAGCTGCATTGTTGATTAATAAATTGATGTGTCCGCTTTCCTGTACAATGGCTGCGACTGCGCTTTTAATACTCCAGTCTAAACAGACTTGTGCAGTAAAACCATTTATGACGTTCGAGCGTAAAATTGAAATGCCTGACCTTTGGATACATCCAATTCAACAATCCTCAACTTCTTGTGCGGGTCATGGAGGGACTGTAAGCGCTGGAAAAGAACAATTTTTTGGGATCACAGGAACTTCATGAAGTTAACTTCTTGAATGATAGATCTTTTTGTTCCGTTCCCCAATTTTCATTTCTTCACGAGTACGGTGAGCTTCATCCATTCGTAACGGATGGAGGAGAAAGACTTTAAGTTCATGGAGGAGAAAGACTTAGATCAGTCTCATTTCTGGTGTGTGCCACCACATCCAGCTAATATTCAGAGTTGAAGCGACGTTGTTAGAGCACCTATGGCTTATATTAGGATATAATCACTTGAGATGGCCAGCTTTGCAAAAAGCCAGTGTTTTCATCCTTTCTGATGGTCTGGTACCGTTTTAACGAAAGGACGGAAGGCTTGGTTGCATTAAACGGACGACACTTCATGATTCGACCCACGGGCCATGCCTGTATGATGGTACATTACTTCCAATAATCTCTCTTCAGGATTTCCGATAGGATTTCCTGCTGTGGGCGCAGCTTGTTGTGAGTGTTCGTACTCGTAACTCAGCAGGTTTCCACACCAGAAATCTGTATTATACAGAAAAGCGTGAACACAGAATAGTCGCATGTTGCTCAAATGAAGAAACTTCCAATAAGGTGGCAATGTGACGCAACTATAATAACAGAAATAAAAAAAGAAGGCCTGCAAGTGAAGCAAGAGACACGAATCATGATACAAACCATAGCTTCGCCATCATCCCACACTCGTCAGTGACTAGTTCGATGGATATGAGCGAACGGAATATGTAATAAAACGCGTAGGATTCTTGATGCAAGAAATCATAAACGTAGGATTGAGCTGTACAAAACAAATTGAATAAGAATAATAATGGCAGCGCAATATGTAGATTAGTCGACTGAAAAAGAAAGAAGACCTGTTAGGTTATCGAATAACTGTTCCATGCACCAAATTAATCACGTATCCTACATTGAATACTGTTATGAGTAGAGCGCGAAAATTCAGCATTCCGTTGAACGTTACCCTTTCACGAAAAAGACTTATGTAGTATGCAGAACGTAGAGTAGTAGATATTACATATGGAAAGGGTGTTTACGAAGGCGATTGAAAAGGGCATACATTATAAGTGTACGTTTGAGAAGCTCAACACCTACGGTACCTTGGTAGGCAGCTTAGATCACTGCGCTTGTCAAAAAAGGTACGCGGGATTTTCCTAACGCCAACTTCTTCGATTTCTTCTTCCCGCGAAAGCTCTCACACTACACGTGCTACTCGACATGCACGACGCGTACGTTTGCAATAGCCTTCCAACGGAATGTGGCGAACGTTTTATTGGTTATAAAGGCGGAAGGCCGTGCGGTGGTTCATCGCTCTCCAGCGTTTACGGGTAATACGCCATTTATCGATGGTGCGTGTTCGTCCACATGCAGTTCCGTGCAGCTAGAGCAGTTGCCATTGCGCGAGTGTATAAAAAGCCTATCATAGAGATATGGGAAATCACGGCACCGGGTGGAGAAATGATGTTGCTTGCAAAAGCAGCGCGACCTGGAGGCAATTGGGTCATCAGGGCGTGTTCTATACTCCTCCTTTAGCTCCCCACTGGCGGTTATGCATTTTTGCGAATGGGCGGTAGTGCGTGCCTTGCTGGGGGTGGGGTAAGGAAGCGGAACAACTGCAGGTAGGGAGGCGATGATCTACGCTATAACTACGTGGCGAATATGCAGTACGCAACAAATCTATCGACAATCAAAAACTCGGCTTTCGTCGTCGAGATTTTCGTCGTTCAAATTTTCTTGACGTCTGCGCATCCCCTAAGTATTTCCAGTTGTTCACAAAATTCGCAACAGGGTGCGTGAAAAAACCCCGGAGACAAATCCCGAACGATGAGGGGGGACTGATTCCGTTGGCGTAGGGTAGCGCTTTGCGGGGTATCTTTTTTTTTGACCTGGACGTGTGCTCAGGATATTTTGCATGTTCTCCGGCAGAGTTTCAACGGTCCATTTTTAACGCGATGTCTCCTTTATCTTGCAGCAGCGCATACTGTGGCCATTGGTCGGTTAGCTACTTATACGATTCGTATTTTGCACGTGAGATTGCAGAAGAAACATTTTCGCGATGGATTGGTTTCGCTTCTTGCGTAAATCCGGGTAATTTCAAGATAACACAAAAGGCCATTATCGATCGCGTGCCCAAACAGTTATCACAATTGAGGCAGGTAAGCTCGGTCGCAACGAAAACACTCCACCTGAAAGTTATTCATACGAGTACGTTAGATTTCAAAAATCATCTATTGCAACCAATCCTATTCGATCCTTGCAAACACTGCAAGGATGACACACTTTCCTACTCCTTCCATTAACGTAATCCAAAGCTATTGCTCTCTCGAATTTTCCAAGATTGTTTGGGTTAAACACGAGCAGGAGAAGGCTACTGAAAAGAGATGAGAAATGAGTTCAATTGTGAAGCCCTGATGCTGTTCAAGAAGCGGCAAACATTGTCATTAATCAACTCAAGCGCCTTAGCATTGTCATTGAACACGCCACGTAAAACTTCTCAACATTTTCGACTTGCTGGAGATCCGGTACTCTTCATCTAAGAGAAAAATCAGAAGGCTGTAATTTTCTACGTCTGTAGGATCTGCTGCATACACCCTTTCAAGTTGACAACTCTATCGCACTCTTGCCTTTCACTTTTTTTGCTTGTTCGTCAGAGATGAAGAATCCGGTAGCCACAAAAGCGATATGCAGGCTTCCACTTGTCTTTCGGCTGCATCAACTCCGTTATACTAAAATAGATGTTCTTCGTACGCTTCAAAAATAGCTTTTAACATTGTCCATTTCGGCTCTTGATGAAGCGCCACCTTTTCTCTCACAATGTTACAGTCTGGTAGTCTGGCAAGTGGGCTTAGAGTCTATAGACGGTACCATTTAACATGCTGGCATGTGGACTTACAGTCTATAGACGGTACCATTTAATATGCTGCATGCTTACTAGATGCACTTCAGGACGCTGAATCGATTGCGAATTATATCATGTTTCTATCTTGCCTAGAAACCAAGATATGATCGATTATACTCGTTGGAAACGGTCCCTCTATGGAAATTTTCGGAATACTTGATTTCTCGGATTCGGTTCGGCTGGAGTTGGACCCCTTTAATCGGTATACAGGCTAAAGTGCACCTACGTATCTTGCATTTTCAGATTCGTTGTTTCCTTTGACGTGCCCCCAAATAGGGCTGTCCTTTCTGGGTATCATGAGAAGTGTTACTCTGCTAGGGCGACAAAAAACTCTTCACAAGCTCATTCATCATTAATGCTACTTACAATGAAATTATCATTCATCTGTCCAGTCGAAACAATCATTTGCCTAACTAAACAAAACCGCGCCCCAAGACTAACGTTGCGAGCCGGCGCCAAAACACATTTTCGAAAAATCAATCTACAGGTCACTCAGACGAATTTCGACCCTTCTCCTGCCCTTCCATTTATTCTTTCTATTCGCTGCTGTTTTTAACAACTGTGGTATTCCTATTCGTTGCATAGCCAGTCGAAGATCGGTCAGGTCCCCTTTTTCTTGGCGCAAAGTTTGCGTTTCTTTTTTATTCTGTGCAGTGTACAGGAAAGGCGCTATTTCTTCTTGTTAATCATTCGCTTTATTTCAACGCTTCTTGTTGTTCTATTCGACTTTGTTTATTTGGCGCACTTATTTTTATAAGCGCACCTACTTACCGTGCCTTTGTGAACATATTGTGTGGTGACCCCCACCTTTTTTTTCTTTCAAGCCGTGTTTCATATTGTGTGGTGACCCCCCCCCCCCCCCCTTTTTTTTTTTTNCCCCCCCCTCCCCTTTTTTTCTTTCAAGCCGTGTTTGTTTTAACAGGATACGCAGCTAAAACGGCCGCATATCCACGCCATTTTTCATTTGTACTAGCTACCACACAATAGGTTTGCTTATTTCAATTCACTCATGCCCAAATTTTATGCTTGTGCGTGTAGTAACCCGCTAACAACATTTTCAGGTGCACGCACCTGACCAAACTCCCAGTCTCTAACCAATTATTTTTATTACTGCTAATCATTTATGCTCCTACTATAAGACCTGTTAAGTCATCGAAGTAATTACGTACTAACACTTCGCGCATTTTTTCTTACTAACATAAACTTTTTGTTAATTATCATGAGTCGGTTAATACTACGCGCAGTAGTGGCCGTGATAAGGTAATTTACTCTGCCTTTCGAGGTAAAATTTTGAACGAGGTCTGACCAGCTTCATACTGACTACGACGAGTTCTGATATAATGTGCTATCAGAAGTGGAGACGGACGCACACGCGCAGGAAGAACAGCAATTCCGGTAAATGGCATAATTCAAGGTTTGAAAGTTGAGGGACTGTATATTGACCAGCTGTACGATTATGTGACATATTTTCAACATGATAATTTTTTTCGATGATAATCCTTTTGCGTTTGGTTTTTGAAAAAATGCAATATGTTCAACCTCTAATAGATAATATCTCTCAACACCACACTAAAACATTAACTTTTTCCAGACAGAATACTTCATAAATAATCCGGTTACTAATCTAAAGAGATACTATCGCAGCACAAACTATAATTGAACGACTTCCAAGCCACCGCAAACAAGGCCGCCCTAGCAGTTTACGAAGGAAGACAAATTCTAGAAGAGCTCATAAAATTACATCGTAAGCATCTGGAGGCAATGGTCGAGCCTAAGCGCGCAATGTCGGAAGCGGAATACAAAACGCGCAGCGCCCGTTGTCTCGGTAAAACCCGGTAATGCCAAACGTCAAGATTTCACAAGAGGCGAGGATGCCCGTAAGGCTCGGGATACCGGTGCCCCGCTTCGCGAGGCTGAGCTCGGTATCCGCTCAGGACTGGGAGCGGGTCTCCGTCCATCGGGGTGCAGGGGGAGTGAGGGCCTTCTCACTGTGGACGAGCGCGCCCCAGAAGCACGAAATGGCAATGCCGGGTATATGGACTTTGGGAACTACCCCCACCAATGGGCTCCCACCTTCTACGACCCAAGCGTTAAGGTGCAAAAGGCGCGCTGCTTTTCAGTGCAAACCTACACTTTTCGTCGGGTTGTAAGAGGGTGCGGCGCCTAAGCGAAAGTATCAAAATCCATGTAGAGAGCTGTAGATGTTTTAAATGTGGCGGTGACCACGGTGAGAAGTCGTGTGACTCGCTTGCACGCTAGCTGTAGCGACCATCATACCGCCCTTGTTACAGCAACTATCACGTCATCAACGAGTTAGGGAATGTTAGCTTCAGACGTTGTTTAAGTGAAGCTAAGAACTACTCCCGCTCAGTTCGTATGGAGCGCAGAGCCACAGACTCTGCAGAGCTGTAATGATGAAGAGTTTTCACTCTCGCACTATCATTCAACGCGCCCTGTAGTTCAACGCGCACCGACCTCCAACGCGCAGAGTCCAATTATGTTCGAGAAACACGCGCACTATCGATAAACGCGCAGAATCCAGCTTTGCTTGTAAAACACGCGCAAAACCTCGTTCTGCACACCAGTTCCGCGCAGTATCGTTCAAAGCGCAGAGCTTCATTTCGCCCGAGAAACCCGTGCAAAAACGTTTAGGCGCAGTATTCGTATAGACGCAATGCCCATTTTTTTTGCGCTTTTGGAACAAATAACTATTAACTCGTACTAACACTAACCCGGGGCACGCGGAGGGAGACTGCGTCAACTCTTTCGCAGTCTGAGCCACGTGCAATTGTTTCGCTACACAGGTGGGAACGTCCTTTCGTTAGAAGTGAAGAAAAAATCTCCCCCTCACGCCAAAACGACCCAAGGAGCGCGGAATTTTGCTCCTCGCAAAACCGTTCGCACCCATGAGAGCTGGGGAAACACATGGCGACTTAGGCCCAGTTCGGTAGGCGTCGAATAATTTATCTGTATATTTCCGTAGGTAAGCAACGCCGTCGACCCCACGAGTGCCTTCGTCGTCTCGCCGCCCCCAGTGTCGTGACTTTCGTGCGACCTCTTCGCGCACTGTCTTCTATTGCGGTCGTCGCACTACATCACAAGTATCTCCAACGCCAATTGGACGGTCGTCAGAGTTCCGCACTGGGTCCCACCGCGCAACTACACCGCCGCCCTTTGCCTGCATATCGGCGGAAGTGAATGGATGGCCTAAAAAAGGACATAGCTTCCGTCAGTCTCGACTTACACCGCGCATGATTCGGCTGGAGCTTTGCATGGTTCCTTACCCCATCTTCGACATTCCCTCGCTAACCCCAAGTTATTCGTCCGCAGTCCCGACGTCAGTTATTCCTTTTAACTTCTACACGGAACTGGATGATCACAGGACGTGCGCAGTTTTCATCAAGAACAGGCAAGCTGAGAAGGATTGTTTCACTCGACCACGGGTGAGGTTCATATTTTCGATGGTGACGATATCCCGGTTATCCCTCTGCGCTGCTCTCCATTCGCCGGGCAGCCCCTGGTGCGCAGCCCGTGGAAGGTGGAACCCAGGTCGTATGGATAAGTGGAGTGGGAACTCCTGCTCCGCTGCGAGTGGCGACCGGGCGTGCCGAACTCCCCGGCCAACGCCGCTGCGCATGAGCAGGAGGGCTAATGCGCATTGTCGACCCCTAGTGAGGTGAGGTACCATCCCGTAGGATTTTTAGTTAAGCTCACCCTTTGCTTTGTTATTAGGGATAAGCCACTTATCTCTTTTATGTTTTGCTGTGTAGTAAGAGAAATCCATCCCTTTCTATATATTTCGAAATGATGTACAAACATCCTTTATCGGTTTCTTTACTTCTTCACGCGCAATGTGTGTCTGGCAAGTCTAACCTTAACGCTGACATGATTGCTAACATTAGTCTTTCTTAGTGTTAATCTCTGAGCGCAGTGTTATGGAAATAGCGCGGGGTAGCGTTCAAGCGTAGGGCCACAAGGGTCGTTGTACCTGGATCGCAGGGACGCAACAACGCCAAGGGGCACCGCACAAGGAAGAGGACCGCCAAAACCGTGGCAAGGCGAAATTAACAAGTGCAGTACCCTTGTGCTCTTCTCGGAAGTCACGACGGCGTTCACCCCACAACTTCTTTCATCGTAGTGCCCCGTGGAGTGATCGCCCGTCACGACAGTAATAATGTTTGAATTCTATAGATGATTCTGTAGTAATGGAATCCTTCGAGATATAAATAATGGGTTCGGAAAATGTGTGTCCATTGTCGTCTGAAGGAATACAGGAGCTTCAAAATGACTTTGTGGAACCGAGTATTTAAAGCTGTACGTGGATCAATTAATTCTTAGAGTAAGCGTAGTTACCGTTACGAATTCTAATTCGATTCTTGGTCAGTGAAGAAGAAGTGGTTTTTGACAGAAAATCTTCGACTTATGAAATGCATAAGAGAATATGTGTACTTTGACAATTATGAATTCAGCCAGTGTAGCGTCAGTGGACGTAGTAAAAAATGGCAACAGTGGGCACAGACAAAAACAGGAATTGTCCTAACCTCAGCTCGTTCACTATTCCGACAGCCGGTGTATACTCGTGTAATAGCATCATTGAGTAAGAGTGTTCTAGTGAGCTCATAGCCAACACCACGATTTGCTCCGGTAATGAGGACCACGCCACGCACACGACCCATCACCTGTTTGAAAGACTTTGTATTGGTTTGCACATGGAAATTTATCAGAGCTTATCACATATTGAGACGCCGAAGAGTATAAGTTGCGAAAAAATAAGAAGGATAAATTAGGTTCAAACAGGTGAAAATGATAGTTAAGAACTATCCCAATTATAAGCAATGGAAATGAAGTTTGATGAAAAAAACTACTTCTTGAAAGGTTTCTCGATCCCAACAATGGTCTGCCGTCGTTACTACCAATGGCACCGTGCTAAGCATTCAAATACCTCAGTTGTAGATATAACGATTTTCAGCGAAGTAAATTCCATTGTCACACACACGAGGTATATTCCTTTATGCGGTGGGCACTATCAAAAGGATCCAAGCAAAATTATAACATGTTCGCAATGAAAAGTTTGCTGACCTTATAAATAAGCAGAATTACGGCATAATTTCGTGAAAGTAATTCCGCAGAAAGGACGTAAAAGAGGATCGAAGTAGGCAACTCAGATTAGCGCCGCGCCTTAGTTGCTTTATTCGGTCCCTTCACATCCTTAATGAGAAATATAGCATCCTTACGAGCAATATAGGAAAGCATTCCTACGGAGGAGGATATTTTCGGATGTTATGGGATACCACTGAATTAACGTCTATTTACACGCCCACACTTCTCTTCTTCAGTTCACCCTTCAAAAACCAACACGTAAATATCTTCCAGCGCGGGCTCCCGGGCACTCTCATTCGAGATTGTTTTTTCTTTAATGAACCTCTACACACCCACACTTCCAATTTCCGCCCACCAGTTTATCGCGAGTAAACACACATCAACGAAGAACTGTTCTTGAACGGTTTGCGAGACAAAATGAATCAGCTTAATGCATGATTGGATCATTAGCCGGCGTTGTGGACGCTTAGCTGAGACTATGTCATCAACCTTTCGAAAGCAACTTCAGCCGAAATGCCACGACCAAAGGTTCGATTTTGCAAACTATCGCAAATGCCAGACTTGGACTTGATTATAACGAACAGACCAGCCTAATGGCTCTTTTTGATTAGGGCCACCCGACCAATATTGAGTTGTTGGTCTGATAAGGCTTCGGGTCTGTGCAGCAAGAAGATGGTTTTTCAGGGCACTGTGCTGCTTATTTCTTTCACTACTTTTTTGAATGGAAATATCAAGCCATAATAAATATTACTCTTGTCACCCAGTCACTAGTCCCCAACCACCTATCCTTCATGATCCCCTAGTTCTGTGAAATTTATGAAAACAGTTCCGACACCAATGGAATGTGATGTAAAGAAGCCTGGATTTTGAAGCACGAAAAATATTCGAAAACGTCAAGAAGATGGCGAAATACTAGAGCAATAGCAGGTCCATCCGGTGACTCTTCGATCAATTTACGGTCGAGAAGACCTATTTTGTGCGTTTGAAGGCACATCTCCCATTTTGCTTGTAAATATTGACGTTTAGGCTTTAGTGGTGAAGAATCATTCTTGTTGATTTGCCTTTTACGTCCTTTACAAGGACTTTGGATAATGTAAACAGAATAAAGTACAGGCAGAAAATGGCATTCGAGCAGCATAAGCAAGAATTCTCTGAACATAAGCTGTTGAGTACTGCGGACTCAGGGGATGCGGGTCTCACTTAACCCTCACGACCTTTGCTCATCATAGGCTTGAGCCAACTAAGTAAAGCTGTTCACTTGTAGGAATCACGAAATTAAGACAGCTGAAGAACATGACCCGGTCGGGAAGGCGTATTGTGGACCATTACTAAACTATCACTACTGTGGTCTAGTAGTATGTATTTATGTATTACATTATCATTGTGGAATGGTGGGCAAAAATAAAAAGTTCTAAAGGTTTGAGTTTCCATTCGGAGATGAAATACCGCTAAATGGAGGTGCTACCTTATCAATGATCCGGAAATCTGAAGATGTATGTAAAAGGTTGCTCGCCCAATCCTGAATATCCATGGGGTAGGGAAATGGTGTCAGGCAAACCAGGAATCCAGACCTATCCTGCACTTTGGCGAGTTTTGTACACAGACATTATTAGGATTTTAAGAAGTGATGTGTCCATATTTGCCCCTCGGACTGAATCATCTCAAGAAAGCTTAGAGACAAGGCTTTCTTCAGGAAAATTCTCAAAGAGACCTCACAAATGCTCTCAGATAAGTTTTGTCTTTTGCGAGTGAGTATCACCTTTCCAGACCTATATGTTTATACTCGTTTGTAAAAGAAACCAGAATCCCGACTTCTCCCAGGAAAGTAGCGATGACGAAGCATAGGGCGAATTCATGACAGTCAGAAGGAGCAAAAAAAAANAAAAAAAAAGCAAATATGCAACACAAAGATCGAGACTGATGTAAAGTTGACTGCGCTCAACAATTATAGCTGCGAAGGATCTTTACTCCATACTTTTCTCAATTCTTCAGCTTTTTTTGTAGACCTTCTTCTCAGCTAATTGCCGACTATGAGTGACATTGAGACTCGAACCAAAAAGAAAACCTACGCAATTCTCTCTCAGGCGAATCCAGTACTACTTATTTGGCTGTTGTAGATCGAGCTGTAGGCAGGGACTTTTGCTAATGTGTCGGAAGTTTCCAATGTAAATGTAGAATCTTTTAAAAATTACTATTGAATAAGAGGATTAGTCAGTACTGGATACTTGAGTATGGTCTAGGGTGATACGCCGGAAGACAGATAGGTATGAAGCACAGACTCAGTTTCACCTTCGGAAATTACACTCAAATAAATGATGGTCCTTGCCCGCCTGCTTGGTTAAACTAGTTTTGACCCTATGTTGAGCTGAAGGACATCCCGAAAAGGAAAGAAATTTTGTTGCGCGGCTAATGCATGTCCCCTACAAAACGAAACTTTCATGGAGTAGTAACAGCGACCTTCATCGATAAAAGTCTGCTATTCTTCCTAGGAAAGGGACATTAATTTGGAGAAGATTGCATGTAATGAAATCGTCGACAAGTGCATTGCCCAGGCTCATATGGTCTAATTATGGCGTCACTCTGCTCACGATGTACAGCAAAGTGGAATATAAAGGTCAGTTTAGGAAATGAGATGGTCGAACTCCAATGAACAGGCTAGCCCTTCCTGAAGCTTTATATCCTCCTGAGTGCCGGAACTTCTCCCCGAATCCCCATGGCGAGCGGCAAAGGTCACGCGGCGGCTACCCTATCTTGGCACTGGGAATTCAAGCCATTCCCTTCAAAGCGCGCAACTGCGCGCGATCGGGTGCGGCGAACGCGACGTCGTTTCCGGGAAGAAGATACCGGACCCGTATCGTCCCCCTTCACCGTCTCATTTCCTGAGTCGTGCACCGCAAGCACTTCACAGCAAAGTTATCTAGCATGAATGGCTACCCTTACATGCAGTCTCCATCGAACGTGTCTCTCTTCCAGTTGTACGTAAATGTTCGAGTGATTAGGTACTAAAGGAAAATTCACATCGAGAGTTAGGGTCATGAGATGGGATGGGAGTAGAACATAAGCAGAGTAAGGGCAATGCTTTTCATTTTATGCGAAGCACTAACAAGATCTTGTGCTGATCAAAGCAAAAACGAATTCGTACTTCGGAATGAAGAAGCTAAAAATTGCGGGAAAAGGAGAAAATAGAATATGGCCAATTCGTAATGAGCAGGTTGCTCAGCGACAAGCATTTGTAGGACAATCAATGATCGAACCGGATACACATCCCCTCTGACAACCCCAGAATTAAATAACTGAAATCCCTACTTAGAAAGCACATGAGACTCTGTCGAGTCGATGAAAAACCAAAGTAATCATGGAACTCAAACATAGACGCATAAATAATTTTTCCTAATTTACTCGTTATAAAAAATCAATTTTGTACCGGATGAGTAACCAGGAAAGTTACAATATATGATGCATAGTGGTAGAACCTTCCTCTTTTCATCATGCCTTTCTTTCCGAAGGAAGAAGTTCCACGTTAGACCGCTAGGGACCTACCAAAATTTTTCAAATTGAACGGTTTGACTTTTGCAACCTCTCTGAGGAATGCGTGAACATTTTCCGAGCAAAACAATCAGCACGAAGAAGTCAAAAAGTACCATTCCAAAATAGCAGCACTACATTCATTCAGAGAGCAAACAGCACTGGGTCTTATTGCTCTTCATGTGAGGTATATTTCAGTTCCATTCAAGAAGGTTCGATAAGCTATAACCGCACACTTTTCTAGAGCTATGCGTAATTCGAAATGACAACCTATGCACTTGGAAGGTATTTAGTTTCTACTATACTCAAAATGGCTCAACCATGATATAAATACGAGGAGAGAAACGAATGGTAGTATTACGCTATTTAATCATAGCGTTCCAGGTTAACTTTGGCCCGCTTTTGATAAGATAGCAGAATCGATTTCGATCTTTCGTCTGTTTTTATCTGGTCAGTTGATTGCCTACATGGGTACAGAAAAGTGACATGTAGGTGCGGCAATGAGATCGAGTAAGACGAAAGATCAGACGTGTCGAGAACGTTTCAAGGTACAGTTAACGACAATTTAGAGGTACCCATTCTTAGTCGGAAAGCGGAAGTATTATGCATTTGGGAATAGTGCACAGGTGGGGAGGAAAGCGAGACAATTCCCCAAGTCTTCAAAGA